AAAAAAAAAAAAAAAAAAAAAAAAAAAAAAAAAAAAAAAAAAAAAGTGAAGATTTGAGTTTCTTAATAGACTTTCAGTAGGGTAGGACCTAAAGAATGATGGGATTCAGATGGCAAAGGGAAAAAGTACCTAATCCAATAGAAATAGAATTCACTAAGGGGAGGTGGGAATGCATAGGGAGTATTTGGGAAACATGAGGACACCAATTTAGCTGGAGTGGGGGGTTGGTGTAGTGGAATAATTGGGGATAAGAGAAGAAAGCTAGGTTAGAGTCAGATTGTGGAGGGCATTGGAAACCAGGTTAGGAATCTGGACTTTTTTTGCTATAGGCATTAGAGAGCTATTGAGGATGGTTTAGTTGGGCAGGCAGTGATTTGATGAAGCAAAGTGCCAGATTGATAGGACTGAGGAAAAACAATGGGCAAAGATTAATTAGGAGGCATCAGTTCACACACAGGATAATAAGGGTGGAACTCTAGGGCAGACTGGGGAATGGGAGAGAAGGAGGGACTTGAACAATGAAGACTTGATGTGCTTGGTGACTGATGGGTCCACCTCCATCCACTTTCCGCTGGTCACTTCACGACTAGTGGTACCTATGTTTCAGATGCCTGATTGGAATCCGGGGTGTGATTTGTGGTAAGGAATGAAGCTCCACGAGGCCATGTTTATCTTTGTGTCTCTAGCCTAGCTCAGGACCTTGAATGTAGGAGGTGCTTAACAAATGTTTATTAAATTGAATGGAAGCTAGCTTGTGCATAGGGAGAACAAAGCCAAAATCTCAGTCTCATTACAACCATTATGTTACCAACTCTGAATTAATGTCATCCTTTCCTGGAAGAGGGTGGATCGGCTATGTTTTCCTGGGTGGAGACATTCCAGGCAATGGGTCCATTCCCACATAGATATAGATATAGATAAATAGATAGGTTCATATTAGAGGAACTGTTTCCATGGGGAAGGGACAGCTAGTGAATAAAGCCATTGTCCTGGAATCAGGAAGACGCATCTTCTTGAGTTCAAATCTGGCTATGTGACCCCGGGTAAGTCACTTAACCCTGCTTGCCTCAGTTTCCTCAACTGTAAAATAAGCTGGAGAAGGAAGTGGCAAACCATTCTAATATCTTTGCCAAAAAAAAACGCCAAAAACCCAAATGGAGTCATGAAGAGTCAGACTTGACTGAAGCCACTGAACAAACAAAAGGTGTAAATGCTGGTTTAGCAGCTCTAGCTGCCTCCATCTTAATTCTTTAGAGTAGTGATGAGGTTTTGGAAACTATCAGAGCTGGCCTCAAGGGCCTGGAGCACCTGAGGCAGGATGTCCTATGCTAGCCCAGGGTAACCCATGCTCTGCTGCTTCTCTTGCTCAGGATCTGCAGTGAAGACATAGAGTGCAGTGGCTTGACTATCCCCAAGGCTGTGCAGTTCCTGAGCTCTCAGGATGAGAAGTATCAAGCTATTGGGGCCTATTACATCCAGCACACCTGTTTCCAGGATGAATCTGCCAAGCAACAGGTAACCAACTGTATATTTTCCCTTGAATCTGCACAAGCAAGACCTAGATGTTGGTCTGGTCCTATGTTTAAAGTTGAGTAGAGGCTTTCTCTCTGCTGGTTCTTCCTCATCCTGCCCAGCCCGCTGGAGTAGGTCGGTGTGCTTGGTATGGCCCATAAATAAGTCTTGACTGCATGATCATCAACACTGAAACTTCTCCCCTTTCCATTCCTTTTTTCTGCCTCCTCCCCTCCCCCCAACCACCACTTACCAACTCCCCATCATTCCAACTAGCCTGACTTAACTTTCCACTTTTGGTTAATTGGTTGTCCATAACCCTAATCAAATGAGATACCATATGTAAAGCATTTTGTAAACCTTTAAGCACTATATAAGTGGTAATTATTATTACTAGCTATTATTATAACTTAATACTACCAAGCTTAATGACAGCTAGTGATAAAAAGGAAGTACCGTAGAGTGGAAAAGAGGGCTGGATGTGGAGCCAGAAGACTTTGAAATTGGGGGTTCAAACCTCAACTCTGCTACTTACTAATTGTGTCTTTTAGGCAAGCCACTTAACCTGTCTCTAGGCTTGTTTTCTTCATAGGTAAAATGCAGGGGTTGGATTAGAGGACCTCTTCTGTCTCTTTGAGACCTAATGTTTTGTAATTGCATTGATGACTTGTCCAAGGTCACACAGATAGGTAATGATAGAGCTGTCCACTACACTCCCCATTCAATACTCTTCCCACTCCATCATGCTGCTTTAGACAGGTGCACAGGTAATTCAGAGATTCATATTACATTAAAAAATTCTCATTGATTCAGAAATCAGGGGATTTCTCTTCCAAGAAATTTGAACCCAAATTCTATATTTGTTTTTCTTTATTTTGATTATTTTTTTTAGCTTTTTGGTGAGGCAATCAGGGTTAAGTAATCCATTGAGAAGCAACACTTTCCATTTTAAATTGCTAGTACTTTGTATTATATAAGAGACTAATTTCTTTTTCTGTATAGTTTTTTTTTTCTTTTTTAGGCAATTGGGGTTAAGTGACTTGCCCAGGGTCACATAACTAGTAAGTGTGAAGTGTCTGGTCTGAGGCCAGGTTTGAACTCAGGCCCTCCTGACTCCAAGTCTGGTACACTATCTACTAAGCCACCTAGATGCCCCTATTTTGATTTCTTTAAAGAATAAAATAAGAGCTTTAAGAGCCTGTAGATTTAGGACCTGCGCATGGTGCTGACTATCTAAAGTGGGAAGGAGGCCACAGAAACCTCAATACCTGTATCTGCCCAACTTTGACCACTTTGTGCAGATCTTCTGAAATTAATAGACACTTGCGTGAAATTAACACAACATTGGGATTGATGGTGAATGTAGAGCTGGAAGAATCCAAAGACACCATCAAACCCAGGCCCCTCATTTTTATGGATGGGGAAAATGAGATACAGGGCCATTAAAGCACTTGTCCAAAGACACACAGATAGTCAGAGATAGTACTTGAACCCATGTTCTCTGGTTTCAGAGCCACTGTTGTTTCTACTGTACCTCATTGCTGCTTTTGGATTGATTTCCATTTGAAATCATCTGCCAACATTTTTTTTTACAAACTAGACACATATGTATATAGGTACATATGTGTATTATATATTCATACATGTTTTATATCTGTGTTTTTTATTCATTTTGAACATTCATTCCTGACATACCTCCCCTCTCATATTGTATTCGTCCTTGAAATGAGGGCAAGTATTAAATAAGACTGATGGAAATCAGATCTGATAGTTTAGGTAACATTCTAAACCTCAAGCCTGTCACCTCACTATGAAGGAGGAAATATGTAATTGTTTATTTTAACGGCAACAATTGGTCTGATTTCTGAATTGATCCTATTTGGACGGCTGAAGAATCATACTTGCCTTGCATTAGGAGTCGTAAAAGCCAAGACTGTGGAATTTAGAACCTAAACCTAAATTTAGACCTTAGATATTGGTCATCCAGTCCCACTTAAGCACACATACATGTGTCCAGAGGGGGAAATTGTGCCCAAGATCACACAGGTGGGCAGGAAGAAGCAAAGGTAGAATTTGAACCCATCCTGCATTCTTTCCACTTCATCATAATTCCATAGTTTGTTTTGAAATTACAAGTATTTTAAAATACATTTTTAAAAATTATATTCTTTTACCTAGAGAATTTATACCAGATACCTGGGCATATTTCAGAACCTTTGGAAATTGATCTGAGATGATACAGGTGTCACTAGTATGTTCATACCCTTTGTTGAATATTTGTACTTTCCTGGGCCAGTTTAGACAATCAAATAAATCCCTCTAAATCCTTAAGGACTTTTCATGTACAAACTGCCCAATGAAATAAAGGCTGTCCATTCCTGATTTGCATTTACTACCTTCAATATGGGAGCTGGAGAATCTCTTTCCCACATTTGGGGAAACTGAGACATGAGCTATCCTGAAGTTATATTGGAAAGTTTTCTTTGAGTAATTCCATGTAGTGGCAATAACCTAGAAAGAAACGGACCCTTTAGGGAACAGTCCCATAGAATCAAACTCAGGTCCTTGGAAGGCTGTAGTCTTGGGAACTCTAAACCACAGGTTATACTTTTTATATATTTTGCATTTATTTTTCTTTCTGTACATTCTTTTCCTATAGTTGCATATGAATTTCTTGAGGACAGAGAGGGATTGTTTAATTTTTATTCTTTTATCCTTAACACTTAGCACAGTGCCTGGTACTGCGCTTGTTGAATGGATGAAGTGGATTCTGGGACTTTTCCAAGCTAAATGGTTTTGTCAGTTTCCATAGCTAAAGCAAAAATTCTCATTTTTGTAAGGATGTTGTACTTTCGATGTGTATCTAAGTTGTTTCTCTAGTAACCACTATAGACACAGTCATGGAAGAGGCCTTTTGGTACCAGTTATGAATCTAGGGAATCTCTTAGACAATTCTAAATAAACAGCCCCTGTCCTCCTGCCCCCCTTACCCACATGCCCTTTCTAGTCCTTATACTCAACTCTATACAAGCCACTTGAAAAAGCAGGGTGGATGCCATTTCTCTTGGTAGTAGTGAGAAGTAAGAGCCCCCCCTCTCTAACCTTGGGATCATCAAATAAGGAAGTTCCTAGTGAGACCAAGTTGAGGGCTGCTCTCTAAAGGCTATACACGGACAGCTTTGGGAGTTATGTGGAAAATTAATTTAAAGAATTCAGTACTCAAGTGGCTTCTTTGGCCTGAAAAAAAAAATCTACTTTGAATCCTATTAGGTGAGATGGGTTTGGGGGAGAGGGGGAGAGCTGGGTGTGGTGGCCTTGATCTAGAACACAAAGAAGGGAGGAAATGTCCTGTGGTTCATGGTGGGGGGGGATTCATAGAGTCTGTTCCCTTGTACTTTAATTTCCCCAACTGTAAAAAGGATGGGATGTTCTAATAGTTAGCATTTATGTAGCCTGGTTTAGTACTCTGTCCCCTGTGCCACCTAGCTCCCTAGTTGTGCTAAATCTAGCCTTGCGATGAATTTCTGACTATTCATGTCCATTGCTTCCCTGCTACTCTAGGTATACCAGTTGGGAGGAATATGCAAACTGGTGGCTATCCTCCGGAGCCCCAATCAAAATGTGCAGCAAGCTGCAGCTGGAGCCCTCCGCAACCTGGTCTTCAGAAGTTCCACTAACAAGCTTGAGACCAGGAGACAGAACGGGATTCCAGAGGCTGTGAACCTCCTGAGGAGGACTGGGAGCACTGAGATCCAGAAGCAGCTCACTGGTGACTTCTTCTCCCTTCCCCAACCTCTCTCTCTTCCCTCTCTGCCTTTCCAGTCTCTAACTTCGCTTCTCCCTTCTGCCTCCCATGAAAAGCTGAGGGAACAGAGATAAGGGGACAGGAAACCTCTTGGGAAACTAAGGATTAGTTTGTAGGGTCACGCAGGGTAAGTGACTAGTGTGGATGGAGGCCACAGTCTCCATCTCTTGGGGGGCCCTGTGTCATTAGTTTGGGGAGTACTGTGAGGCAGCAAGAGAACAAAGCCAAAGGAATCTGGGGCTCAGACATATGAGAGCCACAGAATTCTAGAGCTAAAGGGGCCTTCTAGATCACTTAGTCCAGTGTTCTCAGAGGAAGAATCTAAAGCCACGAGAGATTAAGTAATTTACCAGTTTTTCCAGGAACTGGTTCATATTTTTTCCACTCTAACCATGATCCAAGCCTGGGAATCAAATATGATCAAAGATGTCAGAGGCCAGTGGGTATTTCAGGGGAAGGGGAAATAAGTTGACTGGGTGCCACATCTGACAGTTATCTTAGCAAAGTGGACTTACTTTTTTTGGAGAAGGTATAAACATTTGGGAACTATTCTTTGAATTCCCCAAAAAGTAAATATGAGCTTATTGTTGGGCATGACAAATAAGAATGTAACCCCCCCCCAACAAATGGAACTGTTGAAGTTACCCTAGAGATACACAATGGTAGTGTTCTCATCATCATCAAAACTTTTCTTAAGTGCCTAATTACATATGGTGCCATATTGGGTGTGGTATAGAGCAAGTTTTTAGTCATTTTTCAGTCATGTCTGACTCTTCATGATCCCACTTAGGGTTTTCTTGGCAAAGATACTGGAGTGGTTTGCCATTTTGTTCTCCAGTTTATTTTCCAGATGAGAAAACTGAGGCAAACGGGGTCTAGTGACTTGCCCGGGGTGCATAGCTACTAAGTGTCTGAGGCCAGATTTGAACTCAGGGCTTCCTGACTCCAAGTTCAGTGCTCTATCCATTGTGCCACCTATCTGCCCATAGAGCAGGTATATACATGTAATATATACATAGATATATTATCTACCTTCTAGGAGCTGACAACATAAGACCTTAGGGGAGGCGAGCACGTAGAGATGGATCAGCTTTAATATTGGTATTGTATGCACATCAAAGGCAAATGCATTTTAGAATATAAAGAGTGAGAGGGTAAGGCATAGTGAGTAACTAGTATAATGTGGCACCCAAGTCTTACACATGGATTCCAAAAAAATTGCTCATAAATATGATATAGGAGAGGGGAGACTAGACAGCAGCTAATATGAAAAGGAGTTTTTAGTGGACTGCAAGCTTGATATGAAACAACAGTGTGTTACCACAACCCAGAAAGCTAGTGAGATCTTGGGATGCCCTGAGAGAGGTTCAGCTTCCAGAAAGAAGGTTAGTTGCACTATACGTGCTCAGACGACACGTAGTTTTATGTTCGGTTTAGGACACCACATTTTAAAAAGGCGTTAGTTAAGATGGAGAGCATCCATCTGGAGAAGGCATGCTTGATGGTGAAGGACCTCAAAATTACACAGCATAAAGATATGTTGAAGGCACTGAGGATGCTTAACTTGGAGAAAAAAAGACTTCGGAGAGACATGAATTGAGAGACTGTGATATGGAAAAGAAATTAGAGTTGGCCCCAGAGGCAAAATGAGGAGCAATGAATAGAAATTAAAAAGAAATAGATTTAGTCTCAATATCTGCTTCACTTGAGTTTGGATTAGTGGTTGATGGGACACACTCAGCTTAGGTCTTATTGCCAAGATGTAAAGCCATAGATTGGGTTGTGGAAGCAAGGAACTTATTTTAGATGTATGGGGGCTACCCGAACAAAAGAGGGGGCAGAGTTAGGCAGATGGTGAAAAAGTATGTCTGGGGGGGCAGCTAGGTGGTGCAATA